CAAGCGTAGCAACAGTAGTGAGGTTGGCCCAGGATGGGCAGTGTTTCATCCTGCTGTGCATAAGGTCACTATAAGTCGATACTAACTCAATGGAACCTAACAGCAACCATTATATATCAGAGGTCACTGGTTTTCAGACCGTTTGGTAGTACAACTTCCCAGTTACTAAGGAAACCCCATAACGTAAGTTATGTAAACTATATCTATCAATATTTACATATAGAAATTAAGACTTAGAACTTTAAATTTTTTTATTTTTGTGTTTAAAGTCTAATAATACACTCACCAGCCGCTCGCTCTTTGGAAACTCTATACAGGTTTGTTATGAGTCAGAACCAACTCAACAGCACTTAACAACAAAAACAAGTATGCCCATTGCATGTAAAATAACATTTCAATGCAAAATTACTGAGTTTCCTAAAACATATCAGGACAAAAAAATGTAACGAAGAGTGACATTTTCTTTTCAGATCTGCAAATCTCCTGAATGCGTAATTTAATAGAAACCAAGTATGTGTTGACATTTGATTGGTTGCAAGATGTTATTTTAGTATATGAAGAAATAGTCCTCACCTAAATACAAGTTGGGAAATAGAGCATTATTCTGATAGTTTTTTTGAGATAATTATGACTATTTTATTCTGATAATATACTGAAATTAATATTTGTAGTTTCTTGTCAGTTGTAATTTGGAACCGAAAAGAATATCAGTGGATATTTTGTACTCTGTTACATTAAAATTCAATACTTTACCTTGCACTTTGAAAGGATTTTGCAACATCATTCATTGGTCATTTGGAAAATATGAGTTATGCAAATTTGCAAATGACACGTTTCCTTATATGATATTGACAAGCCTCAATTATTAAAATCTCCACAGATCTCACTAGTTAAGTTCTTACTTGTTGGAAGGCTTTAATTTTACAGTAGTAGAACAAATTAACTAAAATTCTAAATTTTATTTGAAAGCTCAGATTCTTTTTCATTGGTAACTGATGCTTTCAACAATTTTCTTTAAAGTGAAAGATGGTGCTCATTCATTTTTGAGAAAATATCTCCAATTTTAAAGTCTGAATAATATAGTTCATCATTTATAATTTCTATAAAAATGTTTCTTGAACAAAACAGCCAAAAGTAGCTAGTTGAACGCTGAAGGAAAACAATCTTAAAAGTTTGTTTGAGACAGTAAAGTTATACTTGTATGCTATGTGTACTTCCAATTTTATCACCCAGTATAGCAAAAGGATGTGTGCTCTAGGGAAAAGCTTCAGGAAAATTAATAATTGTTATTGCCTCAATCAAGGACTGGCTTATCCATCTATGTATGTGCCTTGTTGTATGCCATCATGTCAATTTTGAATCATAGAGATCCTTGTATAGCGTTTCCAAAGCTATAAATCTTTCCAGAAGCAGAAAGCCTCATCTTTCTCTTGGTAAGTGGCTTGTGGGTTCAAACTGCTGACCTTGTGGTCAGCAGCCCAATGTATAACCCACTACACCACCAGTACACCTCACACTGCACCCTGATTACAATGGCTATCTGGATAAAACCCAACAGAAGTAACAACCAAAAATTCAAAACAAAGTGCAATTAAATAATAAACATTTTCATGCTCAATGTAATAGACACAAAGTGTCAGAGAAGAACAGAATGTTAGAACTTAAAAAACAAAGCAAAATGGTATCTTTCAGTTCACAGAAACTTTTAGTTTAGGGATTAGGTTAAGAAAGTTTATAGGAGTTGTACTCATTGAATTATTAAAGAGCTAAAATTAACTTCTTCCCACAATGCCATGCTGTTCTGGAAATGAAATTAGCCCGGATGTCAAAAGACTAGTGTATTGAATTATGATTACACAGTTAGACACTGATGGTTAAGATTTCAGAAGGATTCATAAAGTGTTGTAAGTAACTAATAATAAAACAATTTCTAAAACACCACTTTTTAAATTTAAAACACACTTGAATTCTTTTCTTTGTTAATCTCATCTAACCCTAATAAATAAGCTTCATTAGAAGACATTAATATTTTAACATTGAGAAAACTGAGATTCAAAAAATACCCAAAGGCATCTGCCTAGCAAACGGTCAAGCCCTTAAAAGAAGCTAATTTAGACTTCTAGCTTAGTCTCAACCACGCACTATACTTTGAACTTTCATTTTTAAAAATTGTATTGCCCCAAAGCTCCAGATTCAAAGCAACTTTGACCTAGACCAATAGAAGGTTTTTAGGGATGAGAGTTATCTAAACAATATCATCCTGCTGCTTATTTTCTTTACTGGGAGGCTTTGGGCTCACTTTTGAAGTCCTCTAAAGGGGTTTCTGGTAGTGTAGTGGTTACGAATTGGGCTGCTAACCTCAGGGTCAGCAGTTCAACACTACCAGCTGTTCCATGGGCGAAAGATGAGGCTTTCTGCTCTCGCAAAGATTTACAGCCTCGGAAACCCTGTACAGGGTCGCTATGAGTCGGAACCGACTCCACGGCACATAACCACCACCACCAAAGCTGTTTTGAGGGATAATGTATCGCAAGGTCGATGGTTCAAATTCACCAGCCGCTCCTCGGAAATCCTTTAAAGGGTCGCTTTAAGTTGGAACCTATTCGATAGCACTTAACAACAACAAAGGTATTTTTACCTTCTGATCACTGCCAGTGGTAAAAATAGTGAAAATGTTGACGTTGCCGATGGTGGCGGTGGCGGTATGACATGGAGTCGATTCCGACTCACAGCGACCCTATATAGGGTTTCTGAGGAGCAGCTGGGTTTAAACCATTGACCTTGTGGTTTTCAGTTCAGTGCTATCCAACAGCACCACAAAAGGACTCCACATTGGTCATTAGTTAGTCCTTTTTAGGAAATAAATTGTCTCAAGAAAGTAAAGCAGCAAGGTGTTGGGATTTTTCACATCTAAAAAGTCTTGAAGAAAAATTCAAATTTCAATTTAAATATCTTTGGGGCCTGAAATCTATAATCTCTGTAGTCCACGATGTGTTTCTGGCCAATGGATTTTGTAACTTAAATGAATTTGAAGCTAAATTACCTTTGGCTTTAGAAATTTGGGAAATTATCTATTTCTAGAATACTGGAAGTAACTTTGTTCTCATTCTATCTGCCAAACTTATATAGGTCATACCTCCCAAATGAGCATTTAATGATAGGATATCACATATGGCTATTTCTTTCTTGTTGTAACTCATCTTCCTTCATCTTTGAGGTGCCTTTCTCTCTTCAGATTATTTGAAGGTGGCAAAATTAGCCCATTTGTTAAATGTTTAATTCCTGAGACTGTGTGCTTCTTAAACATAGGGATCAGACTCTATACCTCTATAGTCTCAATATTTCCCCTTCATAATAGCATAGCTAAAAATCATTTTTAAAAACTCACTGTGAAAACTATCAATATCAAAGAGTTGAATTTATTAGGAATTTTAATGAAAATAATTCCATCTCTAAAATGTGATCATTTTCTTAATTTTTTTTACAATAACTGTTTTTTTAACACTTTTTAATAAATGATGTAACTTCCCTTTCATCCTCCTGCTTCTACCTATTGTTTACTTATAAACCATTGCCAGCGAGTCAGTTCTGACTTATAGCTAATTTATAGGACAGAATCAAACTGGTTTCTGAGGATGTAGAGCTTTATGAAAGCAGACTGTTGAATCTTCATCCCATGGATTCCAACCACCAACCTTTAGGTTTGCGGACCACCACTTTACCAACTGTGGCACCAGAACTCCTTTCTATTATTGTAATTGGTAATAATATTAATAAGTAATATGCTTCTTGTTTATATCATAACAAGAACTATGCTAAACATTTGCATTCATGATGCCATTTTAGGAGTCCTGGTGTGGCGCTGTGGGATAGACACTCGACCACAAGGTTGGTTTGAACTGCAGGTTCAAACTCAAGCTACTTCTTGGATACCCTATACAGAGTCTTTATGAGTTGGAACTCACTCGACAGCACAGAACACAACAACAATGTCATTTTATGTTTAAAATATTCTCTTAGATAGGTATTTTTGTTGTTATTTTTCAAGTAATGCATTTAAGAGAGAAATTTTTAGTAATGAGCCATAACATGGAAGATATGAGAAGAGTCCCAAATAGTCGTGCTCTGTAGCTTACTACACCATTTGTCATTAATAACAGTGACAGAGAAAATGACTGTTATCGTGTATCACATACACATGTCTTTTCTCACTAGATTTTAAATTATCCCAATTTTCTATCACTTTATTTTCTACAACTCTTCATAATACACATGTAACGCTCACTTTCCCAAGACACCTCCCCTACAAAAATGTGTTACTTAGAATTACTGGATGTTTATTTGAGATCTTTTGTTGTTGTTATTGTTGAGTGCCATCGAGTCAATTCCAACTCATAGTGACTATAGGGTTTCAGAGGAGTCCTGGTGTGGCACTGTGGGTTAATGCGATGGACTACAAAGTCGGTTTGAACCCTACATTGGTGGTTCAGCTAGCCAGTTGCTCCTCAGAAACCCTATTTGTTGGAACTGACTCAACAGCAGTTAACAATAGGGTTTAAGAGGAGATGCTGGTGGGTTTGAACTGCCAACCTTGTGGTTCGATAGCCAGTGCTGATCCTACAGCACCATACCAGGAGTCCCTTGAGATCTTTCAGAATTTATATATTCATGGTACATACTTACACTTTGGAGTAGAAAAAAAACTGGTTCAAATCCTATCTTATTTGATATCTTTGAAACTGCTTCCTGATCTCTGAAATGGTCATTTCAATCATTATAGAGCTATTTTGACAGTAAACATAATCATGATGTAAAGAACTCAGCACACGTTAACTGAGGTGGACACTCATTGGTTTGCTCCATAAACTTCCATTATTTCCTTCTTTTTCTAATATTTACTCCTTTCCTACAGATATAGGTAAATTCCAGTCTTCCCATTAGTCATATTGATGTTGAATATGACTCAGGTCACAGAATTGGCCCATATCCTAATGACTGCCAAGATAAAAAGAGAGTATATTGTCTATGAATTAGGAGTTGGAACTGAAAATTAGATTCACATTTTCTATGGGTACCTAGATTTTTATCATATTTTTCACTTTGTGTTATCAAAAACAGGGAACACCAGTCTGCTTGGATTGTAACTGAATAACTAGTAAAGATAGTGGAAGAAGCAGCTCAGATGAAAATACAGGTCAGAGACAGAAGGGATGTCCTGACAACATAGCAGCTCTCCTGCCAATATCATCTTACATTTTGCTCTATTTATTTTCCTGTAGGACACCACTCTGTCCTTACAATTCTCTTTTCTATGTAAACTGTTTTTCATGTACCAAACCTGCTCAGTTACTTGTGTCTAAATTGTGTCTGATTACAAGTACTATAATTAGTAATTTAATGTTTAATGCATTCTTCATACATTTAAAAACTCTTTTGTCACCAAATATTTACACAGCAACTACTATGTGCCAAGCAGTGGATTTTACAGTAGTTAGGTATTCAAAGGTAAGTCAGATAGACGAGGCTGTGGCTTTGTTGAGGGAAAGTAGGTAAAACAGAGAGTGGACAATAGTCTGAAAAGGTAAGTAAGGATTCTATGGGAACAGAAAGAAGGGTCTCTGATTCAGTGAAGACAAGACAGCCTTCCCAGGTCAAGGAACTTTTAAGCTGGAGTTGGGGAGGGAAAGGTGGGTGGGGCGTGTTTGTGTGCACAGTTCACAGTGAAAGAATCAAAGTAGACAAAGAACAAAAATAAAAAAAGATACATTTAGGAACTGAGAGAAGATTAGCATGGTTGTAATTTAGAACAGGAGATGGAAAACTTTTTCTTAATGTCTAGATAGTAAATAAGGAGCTCTGGTAGCATACTGCTTATGAATCGGCTATGAACTGCAAGGTCAGCAGTTCAAAACAACCAGCTGTTCCATGGGAGAAAGATGAGGCTTTCTGCTCCCGTAAAGATTTACAGCCTCAGAAACCCTGTACAAGGGTCGCTATGAGTCGGAACCAACTCCACAGCACATAACAACAAGAACAAGACAGTAAATGATTCAGACTCTGTCACAATTACTCAACTCCAGCACTGTAAAACAAGAGCAGCCACAGACCATACATGTATGAATGAGCATGGCTGTTTCCAATAAAACTTTATGTTATAAAGCCAACAGGCAATGTCAAGGTCATAGTTTGATGACCATTGATTTAGAACCATAATGGTAAACAGAGACCTGGTGACAGAACATTTGAAAGCTATACTGTGAAGGACTGATTTTCTTAAGGGTAATACAGAGCCACTGCTTAACATTTAATTTATAAGAAAAATGATTGATTTTTCCAAAATTTAAAAGTATTCTCTTATTACAGAATGGAGCAAGGATTGGAAAGTAAGGGACAGATACTGGACACAGGCAAAACAATGAAGAAGGAGCTATACTAGTTTAGGTGAGAGGCAGGGGTCTGGATTAGGAGAAAGGCAGTGATGATAAACATATGGACCTGCTACGCCTAAAATGTATTTGGCAAGATTTAGTAATTGATTAAAATAATTCTGTGATTAAGTGCTTGGCTGTGATCAAAAGGCTAGTGATTCAAACCCACCAAGAACTCCATGAGAGAAAGACGTGGCAGTTTGCTGCTGTGGTCACCACAGCTTTGGGAACATATGGGCAGTTCTCCTCTGTCTTATAGGACTGCCATGAGTCAAAATTGATTTGACAAGTAATGGGTTTGGTATGGTTTGGTAATTGCTTAGAATTTAAACATAAGGGAAAAGGATCAGTCTAGAACAATCAACAGATTTCAAACTTGGCCAAACAGAAGCATAATATTTCTTTCACTGATACATTATTGTGGTTAAGTGCCATCAAGTTGGTTCTGACCAACTTGAAGAATATAGAAATTTGAAGAGTATAGAAGATATATTCCTGTGAGTTTTCTATAAGACATGAAGGTCTGATATTGAAATATCTAGCACAGATATAAAGTCTGAGAATATGTATGTCATTTGTTCCTATATTGCAATTGAATATACTAATAACATATGTATTATATGTTATTTGTCTATATTTCTAGACATTATTTGTTGTTAAGTTGTTAAGTGCCATCGAGTCAGTTCGACCTATAGTGACCCTGTATAGGGTTTCCGAGGAGCAGCTGGTAAGCTTGAACTGCCAACCTTGCGGTCCAAATGGCTTTGCAGTCTGGCGCATTAACCCACAGTGCCACACCAGGACTCCTCTAGACATTATGGTCATCTGTAATTTGGGAGTCATCATCCTAAACTATAGGCAAATATTAGACAAGTGGATTTTGGTATATGTATCAGCAGTTCAAGCTCACTAGCTGCTCTTCGGAAACGGTTGCTATGGGTAAGAACTGACTCAATGACACACTTAACAACAACAAACAGACTCAGAGTATGAAGAAAAGAGCCTAGCCTGCACTGTAATGTAAAGGAGTCCACAGAAGAAATGAAGCTGATGAAAAAGACTGTGAAGGAGGTAAGGGAAGGAGGAAGAAAATCAGAATAGTGTGATATTAAGCAAGAACAGGATGTGATCAGTGGTGTCAAACACTGAAGGAAATCCTCAGAGAGAAGTCATTCACAAAGCAAAGAATATGCTTTGCTAACAGAAATTGCTAAAATATTTGAGTCTAATCTGTCTTGAGCTCTGGTAGAGCAGTGGTTAAGGTCAGTGGTTCAAACCCCTTAGTAGTTCTGAAGAAGAAAAACCCTGGATATCTGTTTCCATAAGGATTACAGTTTGACCCTGTCATCTAGTCACTATGAGTCGGAATCGACTTGAGGGCATACAACAACGTGTCAGTCTTAGTCACCACTGCATCCCGGTGCTATGAATTGCTTAGTACAGTAGTTGTTCAGTAAATATTTTAATGAGTAAATGAATGAACGAACATGATCCTGTTTTATTTTTAACTTTTTATTGTGAATTGAGTGAAGGTTTACATAAAAGATCATCAGTTTTACATTCAATGCCCTCCATGTACCATCAGTTAGCAGTATTTACCTCTATACACTGTAACTCTTACACTCCTTCCTGTGTCTTCTACTACCTTCATCTTTCCTCTGCCAACCTCTCTCTTATTGTATACTGCCTTCCATGTCACCCAAGTTAACATGTCTACACTCTAGCCAGTGAATCACTTTCTCTTCACTGCCAGTTCCTGTTTCTTTTTTTTAAAGTCATCATTTTCTTTCATCCCATAGTTTGGTAAGAAGTTAATCAACAGAAATTCAGAACTTATGCCAAAGGCCTACCCATCCATACAAGATAATTAAAAAGCAAACAAACTAAGAATAAGAGCAAAAAGAAAACCAACCTTGGTGCTATGAATGTATAACCAGATTCTTCAAAATTATCTGGCTTCAGGGTTTCTGAGTCTGTAAAGATAATGTTATAAGATTAGATAAGCAATCCAGAGTACATGTCCCAATGTTCTATGGCAATGAGAAGCCATTAGAAGGATTACCTCATAAGAAAAATAATTTTTAATAGAGTATCTTAAAAATGGCATATCAGTCAATATAAAAGTCCTCAATGCTTCACAGTATAGTAGTTTCTATTTTTCTAACATGGATTATAATAATTGTATCAGAAGGAAATGCTATAGCTATGACTTTTCCCATTTACTAACCCTATTTAAGCAAGATCCCTACCAAAAAAAGATAGATTTATATCAATGTTACATCAGGTGTTTCATTTAAAAAGTCAATTTTAAGCTTTTATGGATATTATTATAATAAAAAAAATTTTTTTAGAAAGCTATTAATGCCTTTAGTGAACTAATAATATATCAGATTAAGAATTAGTAAGTGGAAATACTAAAATAATGCAAGTATTTAAATTTAAGAAAAAAACTTAAATGTAAAACAGGTTACAAATGAAAACACAAGCAAATTTCCCCCCCTTTTTTGGCTGCTAAGGTTTGACTAATCATGGGGGAAACTAGCAAAGAGAAGCACAGAGGAAAATAACCAGTAGGAATGGAAATATCAGTGAAAATGTCAAGTGTACTAAACAGAAAGAAATTGAGCAACAAGAAAATACTTGCCCTTCATTTTGCCCTTTTTTGCTGTGAAAATCCATCAGAAAGAGAAAGCAAGTGGGGGAGAAAGAGGGTAAAGCAAAGGGGGGTCACAAACTCTTTTATTCAATGACTTTCTTGAATAAAAATATTGTGCATAGATCAAAGGTTCATTTATGTACAGCTGTAGGGTGGAAAGAAGACACACAGTTTTGAAGACTGGAAATCTGTCTTGTCAGTTACTACTAAAGTACCCTCTCTGCACTGTGGTTATTTCAAGGGTCTGTTAATACAGGTGTAATACCAATGATGTGAACCTATAAAAGAAGCATTTATCAATCATCAAAACCCAATAGATATCCCTTAATTTTTCAAGTGAAAAACTAGCTCATGCAAAATTGCCAGTTGTTAAAGGACCATCATATCTGTCTAATAAGTGAAAGTGGAAATAAAAATGTTTAAAATACCCAATGTACTATGAAAACCAGTAAAGGGCAGAACAAAAAAGAAAGAAATGGAAGACATTGTGATTTATTTTAAGGTCAGATGTAAATTCTTATTGGTTTGTTTGGGTTTTTTTTTTGCTTCATACTAACAAACAACTTTAAAATTGTTAGTAATAATTGAGCAATGTGCAAAGGATATGATGGTCACTTTATTAAATCGAGTCACCCAAAACAAAAATAAAACTAAAAAATGAGTTGAAGTATGCACTAGTGCTAGAATCATTCTACATCCCGACAACACTTAAAAAACCACTAACCCATTTGAGTTATTGAAGATATTAATCTGAAGTTTAGCTTAAAAAACATGAGAAAGTTAAATCGCCAAGCCAAAGCCAAAGAACAGTGCAATTTAATTTATTCAATCAGGCAAAGTAGAAGATGTGAAGCACAATATTATTCCTGCCAAGTGCAAAAAAAAAAGAGTAAAGCATTACTAGCACAAAGCCATGAGTAAGGACTGTTAATAATTAGCATGTAAAACATTTCACACTGGCTTGCAGACCTTTAGAAGGACAGCAACAGAGGACGCAGCGTTGCAATGATTCTATGAGCACATAGCAAGGCAGGGAAGGGTAGTGGGGACTGCCAGTGAGACTGGAGTTCCTGCTCATATTCTATCCATGTAGAATATTTCTTGTTCCTTGCATGTTTGGAATGGGTTAGAATCATTGCTGCAGATTAGGTAATAATACCTGCTAAAATATATAAGCCTTGGGTATTCCAAAATCTAGACGTATTTCAACATCTGATACTAGAATATAACAAACAGACCCTGAAGTCACTTTCACAGTACTTACATCTGGCCTGAGTTATTGTCTCTTCTATTTTGGCTTTTATATAGTAAAAACTGTAGGTTGGTAATACCAAGGCCAAACTGCAATAGAAACAAGAGAAGCATAAACACAAACAAACAAAAATGAAACATACCTTTAAAAAAAAAAAAAAAA